CAGCAGTGTGTTCAGGCGGATCAGTTGCTCGGCTGTCTGGCTCTGGTCTGCTCACTCGTTCCCATAAACTCTTTCAGGCTGAATATAGAAGTGATTCCATGGAAATAACTCAGGGAGGCTCCTTTATTTACCATCCGTATCCCCGGTAGTTTTAGGCTGATCCGGAGTGAAGTGAAGGCTGCAAACTTTGTGTTGTGCAGCGTTAGCTTTAACTGGTAGTGGCAAATATTTACAAGCAAAACTTAAAAGCCCATTATATTAGGAAGACCACAACGTTCATAGTATTGCATTTTTTGCATCTGAAATACGACTTAGTCTTTTCTACCAGTCATGGTAACTCAAAGCGGAAACAAGTGAGCCGCATTAGCTCCTGGAGATGTGACGTCAACGCCGTAGGTGCAAAGAGCCCGTTCCTTAAACACAGGTGACACGTTTTCTTCTGCTCTTGCTGTTCTGGAAAAACACTGTTCACACCATTACAATGTCTACTAGTAAATAGCACTGAAAGTTTATTTCTACTCCAGTTAAAACAGAAATGTATCAGATATTTCTTTCTTGTAAAACTAATAAAACAAAATTTTTCCTCATGTTCAGAGAATCCCAAAGACTGGGTTTTCCTTCGCTATATAAGTGAAGTTGAATTAGTTGGGCATCAAGTTAGTCAATAATACATTCATTCTTATGAGTTCTTCAATTAAATTATACGTCAGTTCTCCATGTAACATCTAGCAAATGACTCCATCACAGTACTGCAAAGTATCATGACAATGACGTCAAATAAAAACTTCCAGAAATCAAAGGTGGCTTTATTTTGTGAAGCTAAAACTTAACTATCTTGTGGAGTAATAACTATAGTAATGATACATTTTGGAAGTATGTAGGTGCCATTCATGACACTTCAGGAAACTTCGCAACATTACAAAACAGTACAAGGAACATGTGTGTTAAGTTTACAGACAGTGCAAGGTGGAGTCATTGGTGTGTACCTTCATGCTGATGAGAAACACCTGTTACCTGTTAAACATCATCTACGTCCAGCTCCAGCCACACCTCATTAGTTCACTAGCTTACTTATTATCAGTGGTAAACTATTTAAATAAAGTCGAGTTTAATTTTGTGTAACATTTGCAAGATCGACACATTTTTCTCTCTCAAGAAAAGATGATCTCTCCACCTCAAGTTTGTCCAAAGAATCAAGAATTCTTTCCTGCAGTCTGTGTCGAACAGACTGGCAATTATTAAACTACAAGTGACTGTTGTGATAGATGTTCGTCTTCCATCAGGTTTGGGTTTGTATTAGTTGTAAGCAACAATGCTCAAAATAATTTTTATTTACACATATACCAAAATGCATTAATATTTTCATGTTGTTTTAACTCCTTAAGATGCCTTTGCATGTGTTTTGATCAGGAAGGTTCAGATGAACTTCAGAAAGTCCCAACAATACTGGAAAGTGTGTACTCCCTTTACCTGATGAACTTATTGAATCAAAGCACTAAAGCCAGGCTTTGAAGCACCTTGCTTGTTTGCGATCAGTGGGTTTCACTGTCCGTACTGTCAGCAGGTGAAATACAAAAAAAAAGAAACGTCCAACATCTGAACAGTTCACTGATCAAAGTGTCAGCTTGCAGTAACCACCCCAAGAGACTGGACGTGGACTTTGCTATTTCCCTGGCCTAATGACCCTGCTATTAACAGGCAATTGAGATGAACCAATAGAAATCAGAGCTCGTGCTCAGAATTCATTAGCTGCAAGAGCGTGACGAGTCACAAGAAGCACAGTAATGCGAAGCAGGGTAGCACTGCTTGGCGTTTTTTTTTTTTTTTTTTTTCCCCCCCAACCCCTTCACCATGTCTGGTGAACATAAATCAGACAACGAGATGGTGTCATCGAGACAGAGCACCCCTGGAGTCTTTGTACTAGTCAGAAAAAGAGTATGCAAATGAAGACCTTGACCCAAATCAAATTCCAGAGCCCGTTCGTTAATTGCAAATTACAGACCTCGGCACCCCAATCAACGGCCTTTTAAGGAAATGATTTCAGACTCATTTTGGCAATCCTCAGAAAAATATGAAAGGGCAAGAATAAAATGCAAATGTCCTAGTTATGTGTAGCATACATCAATGTAAATGGAGCCTCTTTTGGAAGATCCAGTTTGTCTGTGCAACAAGTAGAATGAACGAAATTTATTTTTGACAAATCATGATCTTTTTCCAACTTCCCACGATGCTTCTGAGACAAGAGTCAGCTAATCTAAAGGGAAGGTTGCGAAGCTGAAAAAGCTATTGGAAAAGATGGATTATCTCACCTGGGATGGGGGGTCGGTCTCTGCATAAAGCAAAGAAGGTGAAACTTCTAGGTGCCTGGTTCAAGAGTGACAATAAGATGTTAGAGATGCACAGATGGCTTTTGGTCTCGTCTTTAGCAATGTGGGCATTGCTTTGCTTGGCTGCACTGAAGAAAGAGCAGAACCAATAAGTACATCTATTGGTCTATGTTCTGACCATTGGCTGCGGTCAACAGATACGACTCATGACAGAAGAACCACATCCCAAGTGCAAGCAGCTGAAACAAGCTTCCCTGGAGAGCCACTCCTGCTCCACATTAATGGAATTGGCTGAGGCGATTCAGAAAGCTGATCAAAATGCCCCTTTGGAGATTTTCTAGCCAAGTCCCAATGGGAGTATTTACCTTTCCCTTCTGACCTGGGGATGCCTTTGGATCCCCTAGAATGATCTACAGAGTGAGCCTGGGAAGAAGCATATCTGCGTTTCCCTCCTGGACCTGGATAAGAGGAAGACAATGACGAAGAACATAAGTGGAAGTGTTCTCGGCTGTGTTTCCAACCAGCTGAAATCTTCTGACCCGTCGTCCTCCTTCGCAGTAAGTCCCCGACGTTTTGTGTAGGCAGTCATGTTATTGGATGAAGAGAGACAATATCATGGCAATCCTCCGTTAGATTTAATATATCATGACAAACTAGGAGACATCACTTTGTTAAATGCAAATCACTGCTGTGTTTCTCCATGTCTCCATCAGTGTTTTGTCAACTGCCCTGCAGGCCCAAAGACAGCAAATCACTCCCAATTCCTCTTTTCCTTTCTTGTTTATTTTTTACACCTCAGCTGTTTTCTAACAAGCAGCAAATAAGGGAATACAATATACACAATTTACACAGTAAATGTAAATGTAAGAAGAGGCAATTTGCTTCTTTTAATTTGGGATGTGGGACTTCAGTGATTGTGGCAGGTATTTTCCTTGTATTATTCTGTATCTATTACCTGTTAGCTTGGTTTAGATCCTCTTAGGTAACAATTAGGACAAAGAGTATTGTGTTGCAAAGCATTCAACCAGTTTTTAGCTGTAATAAACCTCTGAAGCAGTGATACAGAAACAATAAAATGCATCAGTTTCCTTCTGGTTTTCACTGTGCACTACTGGATCCCTCCCAATGATCAGCAGCAATTATAGCCATTAGAATTATGCTTATTTTTGTGACACAATAGGAAATGCCATAGTCTTAACATAATCTACCGAAACGTATAAGTTGAAGATGTAAGCAGTTCTTTATTGAAGTTCAGAAATACAAGAAAAAAAATGTTTTTTTTTTAATGTAAAATACAATTTCAACAGTGAATTTTAAATACAACATAATCACATAGCAGATAAAAAGGAACACAGTAAGTAAATTTGCCAGATTTATTTATTTATGTATATATATTTGCCACAAGAGACTAAACACAAATCCCTCAATAATATTTTAAAATCAATCTTAATCATATTCACAACTTACAACTACATAAGGAACAATGAAAAAAGTCCTACTTTAAACCAGTTCTAAATACTTTATAAGAAAAAAAAATATTGTCATACACTTTTGAGTTAACAGGAGATTGATATATTACTTGTGAAATATATTCTTAATTTTATATATGTGACCATGAAAAGAAGAAGATTTATTTTGTAATTATTGAGCAAGGAGCAGGTTTTTATAAGGTTTTTCTTTGTCCTGCTCCCTTTCACTCATGTAGATGAGAAGACAATGTTTTTGTACGCTGGTGTTGAAATGTGTTTTGTTGAGTGAATAAACTTATTGATTGATTGATTAATGGAAAGCAGAGGAAGCTATGTGTTCATACAATGAGCATGGAGAATACAACTTCAATCCCATAACTTTAAAAATAACCATTAAAAAATTAAATTCACACATTTATAATGCAACATAGACAGTGAGGTACAATACATTTTTAACTCTTACACTAAATACCTCAATGAAATGGATTTAAATTTGTTTTTGTGTTGTGATACTATTGTGACAAAATTTACAAAACCTTTGCAAGGCATTGTAATCGTTCCCTATTTCCTTTGGCCACCAAACTTTTTTCTATCGTCTTCCTGAGCAGAGACCAAACACAAACAGGTTGATTCTGACACGCACACACACACACACACGCACACACACACATCCACTTCTCCACAAATGCTTTTACTTCCCTGTGAACAAATGCCCAACACACACACCAACACATACATTGCTGAAAACCAGGCAGTTGGAAGCTGTGAATGAAGCGATATTGTAACCTCAACCTATGCGGCACTTCCCCACTGTGGGTTCAGCCAATGAATTATCCCCTCCAATAAATCCTGTTTGGAGGATAATCCCTTTCCCATCTTCCGGACAGACACTTTCTGTAATGAAATGGCCCCGGGTCCTTCCCTGTAACCCAGTCCCATACCGGCCCTCTAACTCTGTCTGTCTCAGGGGGAAAAGAAGGGCTTACAGTGTGGCTTCAACCCCACTCAACCCCTGCTCAGCTTCAATGGCTTTGTCACCACCCACCTGCCCCCACAGCTAACCCAGCTTCGTGTCGCTCCTTCCTCCCTTCGTTCCCAATGCAACTTCATTTCCCGCAGAATCCCGAGTACAGTAGAGGCTTTACCTCTACTGCACATCTCTCCTGGTTCAGCAGCTCATCCCTCTAATTCATCCAAGAATTGCTTTCTCCCTCCATTTTTTCCCCGTCCTGTTCTGCCAAAAGGAAAAAAAAACTGAATCAAAAACAAGTCTCCTCTTCTTGTCTGATGACGTGAGTGAAGGCAAACCTCAACAAAAAGTCTTCTGCTGCTGTAATGAGATGTCTCGCTGTGTCATATACTTCGTCTCTATTTCCTAGTAGCCCAGTTTTACTTGTGGATGGCGTGCTCTTGATCAGCAGGGGGTAGCTGTAGTTGGCAGCGTGCAGCAGGGGGAAGGCAGACTAAGCCAGGGCGGAAGATGGAGGTGTAAATGACACTGGTGGAGAGCGGAGAGGAAACTCTCCAGGGCCCGAGACGGATGCAGGATGTGGGGCAGAACTTGTGGGGGAAACTAAGCCAGGGTTTTACTCGGTAATTGGGTTGGGGTGAGCGGCTGGCAAGCTGAGAAAGAAAAGATTTGTAAACAACGCTGCCCACTAGAGCATGGAAGCACTAGTGGAAGTGGTCTTTGTGTAAATTTTTACAGGGTTTATGTCAAACTAGATCACTGAGAAACTGGAACGTCAAAATTGAATGACATGTCTGACAAACATTCTGCAAAATACCTTTTTAATATGACATCCCCGGGCTGCATTTTCATTAAGAAAACCACAAGTGTGTCATGTTTTTTAGTTTATCTGTCCGAGACTCGAGCAAAGAGAACAACGCTACAACAATAACCAGCTGCACCATGATTTCTGGACTACTTAGTTCACCTGAATAGAAGTCATACCCACTAACCCAATTATTTAACTTATATTAACAAATGTTAACTTTTGATTAAATATGTTTCAGCAATATACACATATATGTACCATAAATGCTTTTTCTGACCAGCACATGTAAGGCAGCTGCTTAAAAAGAAAAGAAAATATTGCTATCTTCATCTTCCTCCTCTGCACTACCAAAACCAAAGTCGTCTTTTTCAGTATCGGAACTGAACAGCCTCACACACACTTCCCGAATCTCTTTTGTTGCTGCTCTCAATGTCACTGTTGTTTTGCTCTGGAGTGTGTGCCATCCTTTTCTTCCAGCCTTTCGAAACCTGTTTAAAAAAAACCCCCAAATATTACCCGCATTGCAGTATTCAAAATGTGTGAAGTAGCACCTTATCGTCCAGACGTTATGATGTATGGTTGATTTATTTATTTTTGTTGACAGAGGATATAATGACTTATAATTTACTTGTCCCACAGAGTTTTCTGAGAAGAACTGAAGGAAGTGAAGCTGTTCTACAAGTCCTGGCCCACAGACAAACGGAGTGAGGTATGAGAAAATAAAGTTCTCTAAAAAATAATGATCTCTAAAGCACATGTGCCATATTTCCTGCTGTAGCTGAGCTTGGCTGGGTGCAACATGGTGCCAGAGTTTACTTGGAGATTTTTCCCAATATATCCTTTGGTGGGTGTGTGAGGGGAGGAGGGCAGATGTCCAGGTGTGTGACAGTCCAGGAAAATGATGGAAGGAGCAGTGAGGCAGTCGGGAGAAGCTTGCTTTCCTTTTGATGTATCTAAAAAACCTGCCACCATCTAACACGTAACACTGCTTTTGAACCAGTGAAGTGGTTTTTCAAGATGGTTAAGCAAAAGGAAAACACTAAACATGAATAGCAGAAGAATTGCACAAATATCAGGGTTGCTATGTGATTCAAAGACATTACTCTCAGCAAGGTGGCAATATAAAGGTAATGCGAGTAGACGCGTGCACAAGTGAAGCAACAATTCAACATGGCATGCATGACGCACCACAAAAATGCTGTAAGCTGCGTAAGTTGGTCGAAGAAAGCTATGCAGAAAGAGCTGCACATTGAAGTCTGATAGATGTTAACAGACATCTATCAGACATCTAAATGGATGCAGAAAGAAAAACTACATTCATTTCTATTTGTGTGCAGGTTTTTTTTATGTGCATATGATTATCAAAAGACTTGATAAAACTGCTCATCTTGCTTTGGTACATGCTGTCTTCTTCTCCCACCCACACACCCTCTCTAACTCCATCACCTCACCCCACTCCAATCTTCCCACCCAGCCTGCCTCGCTCGCCCTCCTCACAGTATCTCCTTCGTGGACACCTGGCTGATATGGACGCTTGGAGGCAGGAAGCTTCCCCTGCTTATTACCATCTCTGTCTGGCAGGCAGGAGCCACACCCACAAGCCTAAGTGTGAGTATGCCCTTTTGATTCCCTTTCTCTGCCTCTGGAACACTGTCTATGCATGTGGAATGAGAAAGGTGTGCATAATAATTAAGGGTAATCTCTGAGAAAGTTATGGAGCCTTGAAAGTTGGCTCGAAAAGGGACAGGCAATTTAAATTCAGATTTGTGACAAATCCTAAAATTCAAAATTAATTCAAAGTGTAGTATAACTTACATTCACACATTTTATTCCAAAGTTTTAAACATCATTGTAGAACATTTCCCTTGTTTGTTTAAAGATATTAGTAAGATAACGTGACTCAGCCTCGTCTGGACTGCTGGTCTCCTCCACTCCTGAGCGGTGCATTTACATTCTCTTGCAAGTCATCTGTTGTCTTTGATCATATCTCTGTGGTTTCTAGTTCCACCCTCTGTTTAACCCATGTTTCCTGCTAATCACCAGAATCCACACTGTGCACCAATTGTTTAGGCTTTGATATCTACGCTAAAGCCTAACACCTTTCCCTCCGTCCTCCTCCCCTCCTGTTGCTTCAATTACCAAGGAATGTTAATCTTTGAGATGCACGAATGTTTCCAATTAATAGGTGTCATTAGTGAAACGGTCGATCTCTGGTGCAGAAAGACATGATAAATGGGCAGGTGGAAGGGCGCATGCAAGTAAAAGTGAACCCTTGTAGCGTGGCATGTGGATGCATGCCAGAGCATGCTGGGTAACATTATTCTGTGTTTACCAAAGCTTGATGTTTAATGTATTTGGCATCCAGAGATCAGAGGTATGTTTGTCAAAATTGGACACAGATTTAGGGAGAGAATTAAATCTGTAGACAATAGTTTCCTTCACCAAATGTTGCTCATACAAATTTAATTTGAGGTAAAAATACAAACAATACCTTTAACACACAAATAATGGGGAAAAAAAGTCATCTTTTGAACAAAACAGGCATGACTCATTTATCCCCCCCTCACTTTTGTCCATTTTTCATTTTGTGAAAAATATTTACAGGTGTGAAACGGAGCTACTGGACTTTTCATTCTTCACTTGTGTTATTTTTTCTCTGGCAGTTTTACAGTATAATATGAAAACAACTCTCATCAGACTTAATCAAACTTGATCAGTCTATGGCCTTGAACTGACCTGTATGTGCAGATGAAGATGGTGGTGAAGATATCATCTTCACCACCATCTTGTTTTCAGAAGCAAAAAAAGTCTGACTACAAGTCAATCTATGATGTTTTTTTCCCCCTATCATTTTTAAAACACTTCAACTTTCAAATCCCATCAAGCTTGATGCTCGTACTAAGGAAAAATCCTTATTTTGTTTATCTCTTTCATGTTTTTATGTACCGCCATCTGTCAAAATCCCTACTGTTGGGGTGATTACCATTAGCGGAGGATGTCAGCTAATGGCAGACAAGAACTCTTCACATTGAGATCAACTTTGGCAAACTTTCAAACATAATGCTGATGTGTAGACATTTGTAGCAAAGTTGATCGTGCACAAAAAAAGTAGAAACGTTGTAGGAGCATCGAACTTCTGAGAGCTTATCTTTTGTTGGACAAATAGCATCCCTGTGTTGACTACATGGTGTGGAAAATAGCAAAATGCAGAAAGTGGACAACACAGCAGACAACTGAGGCCATTGAAAGTCTGGTCAAGTCTGCCTTTAATTCTGCTCACCAGTGTTTATAATACGATCCTCACCTCCTTCTTCTTTTAGATTATATGAATAGGTGGTCTTACAAAGACACACACTTGGTGTCCTAAAGCAGTAGGAGATAGATCCTTGAAGCTCAGGATTAATCTTTGTGTGACTTTCCCGACCCATAACTTACCAGGATTGGCTGTTCTCTTTAAGATCAAAAGCAGCACCCGTTTCTTCACAAAAGAGAAGACCATCTGTGCTGAGCTCCACCAAACCATTTTTGCATTGCAAGTCACAACTTCACACCTGTAGCTCCATCAAGTCTTTTTTCCCTCTGTTGGGAAACGCCCACAAATACCTGCTGTCAGTAGATCTACTGACCAGAACCTATAAAAGACGACCAGAACAAACTTACCACTTAGAGCAGACTTGACTCCTTTGACTGTAATTTTGTTCTCAACTTGCAAGGTTTTACATTTGCTACTTCTTCTCATCCAGAAGAAGGAATATTTTTTTAACATCGCTAGTCACAAGAGTTTTACTTCAACTTTGTCAGCATGAGGGATGAAATTAATACATTGTATATGCTTTAAAAAGTTCCTAAAACATTGTCTAGTCTAAAAAATGCAATCTACATCAGTATTGTGACTTTGTCCCAAAATTGTTTAAGTACTTTTTTTTTTACAAAGTCCCCATCAAGTATCAACTATCCACTGAAACATGAAATGTATGTCATGTAGTCTGTCTGGTGATGTGAGCTAGAAGTTTAATCCTGCACCTTTTTCCTTTAGGCCTACTTTTTGCCACATGAATATTTAACAATTACAGCCTGATCTTAATCCACTGTTAACATTTAATTCAGCATGCAAACAGTTTTAGGTTCCTTTATATCGTTTTGAAAATTGATAAAAGTGCAATATTTATCCCATTAGAAATATAAACAGACGTCCACGCTAATTAACGTAGAACCTGCTACAGTTGATTTTCTGAATGATTCAAACAAAGAGCTTTCTTGTAATGAATTAGTTAACAGCTTTTAATCTCTGTGCACATATTACAACTCCTGCACTAAATACTGCAGTGTGTATGGTTTCTGCAGGGTTTCCCAGAATGGTTTGAATGCATTACCGAAAAAGGTATTCTGCTTCTGACCTCTTGTCTGGCTTCTCTTGCTTGCAAACTTTGCTGTCATGTGGGGAAATCACAGAAAACGCATCAGTCTCCCTTCCCTGTCAATATCTTTGTACAGAATCTGTAACATGGACATGGTACCTTAAATAATTACGGCAATGAGTCATTATACAGGTTTGCAAGCAAAGCTCAGGAAACTTGTGTAAACAGCAGACCACCATCAAAAGGGGACAGGAGCTGACCCCATTTAGGGATTATTAATATTATTATGATGATTTAGAAACACCATATCCAATCAGATGTTTGTTGTCAACATACTTTTAAAGTTTCCAAAATCATATAAATGCACAAGCAAATATAATTTCTGTCACAATGAAGTATTAAACTTCCATAGTCTCTGACAGAGACACATTTTCACAGTATGATAATAAATAGATCACTTTTAGATGTGAAGCCCTGATTAAATAATGTAGTTGTTAAAAAATAATGTGTATACAAGCTAAAACTCTGAATCAGAACAAATGTTTAAAAAAATACCAAAATTAATTAGTAGTTAATATCATTTAATTATATTGGAATGCACAGTGAAATTGCAGAGCCTCCCTGTTGATTTTCATTCATATTAATGATTTACCAATTATTTATCTATTGATATTTATGCATGAGGAAGATTATTCATGAAAGAAATGTCAGAATTAAATAGAAATCTTTTTTTTTCCACTTCCATTTGACATGGGGGATGTTTTGACAGTCCCTATCCCGTCTAGAGATACTTAAAGAAAAGAGCAGACGTCTTATGAATATTGACATTCTGTCAGTCTGGAAAATGAGCAATTTATGACTAATTATTTTGCCCCATCAACTATTGACGTTGGAACTGATGACGCCAAAAAGATTGTCCAATACTCAAGAAGGTCTTTCTGCTCAAAACACGACTATACTTTGTTGCGATTTTTATAAAACAGATGGTTCTCCTCACCCACAGAGGGTGTACTTGCAAAAAACAAAAAACGTTCTATTATGTATGTGTTTCTATCTCAGCACCTTTGTGTTAGGAGGGACCCACGGAATACCCTGAAGCAGCCTCATAAATACACATTTTGATCCAGTTAGGCGTCTCATTGCAGTACGAGATGAGGGCATATTGTAATTAATCTCCGATGTGCTATCTGACTGTTAGATCTTTCCTGGCTAATGTTGTCCTGCTGGTCTGATTGGAGGGGGCATCAGATGTTTAGTTTTGAAATGTGTCATGCATGAAGAAGCCATTAGCATCTAAGACCTGTCGGCTGCCCTCTGGCTCACTGTTGCACTTTGCTGCTACGTCTATGAAATCCTTCCTCTCTGTGTTTTCAATATTGAACAATTGAAAATGGACAGAAGTATACAGATGAATAAATACCTAAATGTTCTCTGTTTTTTGGATGAGAATAAGTATTTTCTAAACTCGAAACAGGCTGAGCATGAGTTAAAAACACGTCAGCATCCAGAGATGGAAAAAATGCAGCTTGATCAAGCTTAAATTATGAAATGATACCCAAAATATTTTTCCTGTTGGAGAAAGGGTTTATGTATTTAATGTTCAAATGTTTCAAATTAATACAACTTAAGCCATTAGTTGCTAGTATCACTTTCCTTATTAAACATGTAATCTGATATTATGTACATAGCAATAGTCTCTCATTTTTGTATAAAATCCACATGCCTGTGTATGTGTGCATCAGTGGGAATGTGCTTTTTGTTTTCTAGCCAACAAATGAGTTGACCTCGGTCCTCCAAACCAGGAAAAGACTTCCTAAAGTGTTTATTACCTAAGCGTCACTGCCACCCAGGGTAACTGTGGGCCACATTTGTAGTTTCTTTACTCATCTTTCCGTCACCATAGGCTATTAGCTACATAGAATCCCACAGGGACCCACTGTGGGTGTCCATGTGGTAAAATATGATTCAAGCAGAACGATATCTCACCTTTTTAAAAGAAAATTATTTAACAAGAATTGGGCGAGAAGGCCCAATGAGAATAAAAAAGTGAAGCAATTTTTTTTTTTTTTTTTAGAATCGAAGCTAAGAATAATACCTCTCCATTTTACCATCTACATTAAATTCAGAGCTTTAAAAGGACGCTTCGGGGCAAGACCATAATTTCTGTGTGTGGCGCCCACGGTCTACATCTGTGTAATGGTCTCGACTGGCAACTGGTGAGTGGAAGGCTGCACTGGTGTGTATCTGAGA